CAAGTAGCCATGCATCTTTCCTACGCAAGTAACTGTTTCCTCTTTCTTCTTGGTTGTTCTTTGTATGTGTCTGCACCTGCAATCAGAGACAGCAGTTGGGAACAGCCGTAGAGATGGAAATTGCTCAGATGCTCGAGGAGAATTCAAGGATCCTCAAGTTTGGATATCAGTTTACGAAGCAAGGGCCACGAACAAGGGTGGCAGCTGCCATCACAAAGAATAATGACCTGGGTAATGTAGCCATAATAGATGCTGTTAGCAATGAGAAGAACATAGTGACCATGCGTGTCTCCACTTCAGATACAACCTCTCACCATTCCCCTGGCCTTTGGTGTCAACCCTTCATCAAAGGCACACTATTACATGGTCATAGGAATCCTCATCAACTTTGCAGTGTTTACATTCGATTATAGAATTTTCTCAAAAAGAAACAATGCTATTTTTTCTTTTTTTGCAGACAGCCTTTGATTTTTTCCTGATTTCCTTTATGTATTTGCTTCTCCTTTACTTACTTCTTACATGTAATCACCCTCTCTTGTTATCTGCAACAGAAGATGGACACAATGACATGGAAATTCCCAGTTTACTTATATTTGAATCCTGACTGTGTTTTTGTACTTAGGTTTAAATATGGTTATGTCTGATACTTTGGTGATTTACATGTGAAATGAACTAATGGAACTAAGTTATGAAGGTAAACTCAGAAGTAGCTTTCTCAGTTAGTCTCTCTTTAATCTTTCCTGCTGCCCCCCTCTTTGCTGAGGATCTGTGGCATTTTTTTTTCTGTTAGAATGAGGTGTGCCACCACAGCACAGAAGAATGGGACATGTTGGGAGGCTTGGTTGAGGACAGCCAGCCACCTGAAGCAGCATGACAGAGGGACATCCAGGTGCAGACAGTCCACTTGGCAGGCAAGCAGTCAGCCAGCTGCAGGCCCCAGTCCCCAGTCTGAGGTTTAGGGACAGAATGCTTGACTTTGGACAGGGGAACTGGGCAAGGTTTCCACCAGGTATAGTGCTGGCTGTGGGGAGGATTCAGATAGTGGACAAGGCAGAAGCTAACAGGCCTGAAAGCAGGCAACTAACGGTTAGTGTCCAGTTCCCTGCCCACGCACGCTTAGCCAGGGCCCTGAGGCCCAGCCGTGTTGCAGTGTGTGGCGTCCGGAGGCTGGCTGGGCATATGGCAGTGCTGGCCTTTGGGGCAGAGGGTGAGGCTAAGGAGGCAGCCCAGTAAACAGGGTTTAGGGGAGGGGTGGAGGCAGTAGTTGGAAGGCACCTAGGAAAAGCACATGGGGCCTATAGCTGAACAACATGAAAACCAAAGAAAACAGGCAAAACAAGAGATTTGAAGTAAACAGAGAGGCAATCCTGAGCCCTGGAGCAGCAGCTGTAGGCAACAGCTTTGGTCGGATTGTCTGCAGACTAGGCTGGGCTATTTAAAGTGGCGAGTCGGGGCAAGACCGCAGCCAGGGCACCATTTTTGCCAAATCCAGGAAGGCTAGAGTAGCCCTCCTCCTACCCACCAGAAGAGCCTACAGGTGGGGAGGCAAAAGGCTTTGCAAGAAGAGGGTTGCAGAAACTGGGAACAGGCAGCCAGGCAGTGTCGTCTTTGATACTAAGAACCAGTTTAAGGGAACCCTAATCTTGGAGTTTGCTTGCCATCTGAATCGCACCTTCCTTGGAGGTTAATACTTAGGAGATTTTATTTAAAACTGGTTTAAAAACTCTGAACTTCTGACTAGAAATCCTCCTGGTCTTCAAGTCATAATCAGAGTTAGTAGATTGTGAATGTCATCCTGGGGTGTTAATTAAAAGCCAGTTGGTGATTGAGTTGCCCATGCTCAAAAGATGTGCTGTGGATAGGTGACCAAGAAAATATTTAAAAGTTCACTATTTCGTGGATCTATTTTGGACCTTCTACTTCATAGAAATGAAAAAGTTCTAACATTCAAGGTCTCAACTATCAGGCATAGCTTTATTTAAATATAAATCCCACAAAACACTGGATTATTCTATCATTTCCATTTATTGCTGTGGGTAATTGAATATCGAAGTTTAAGATAACTATATCCTCCAGTGTGTGGGATTGCTATTCTGTGTGATTAATGTTTATCTGAAATTTAATGTTTATCACTTTGTTTTTTTAACCTTTCTTTCTTTCTTACCCAGTTCGTAAAAAGCGAGTTGAAGGAGACCGAAGGTAAATTTCTAGAACAAGATATGAAGTTTCACCGGCAACCATTTAAAAACAAAAACTTTTCTCCTTCCCCTTCGGGACCATTTTATCAAAGGTCATTGATTTCCGTTAACCACACAACTAATAATTTAATTGTTACTCTTTTTTAGCACTAATTATTTATCTTGGATTTTTTAATATATACAATTGTTTTATTTGCTCATGGGCACCTCTGGCACTTGTACCAGTGGATTTATGCCGATCTTACTAGGTGACAACAATCGAAAATGATATAACCACTTTCATATTGGGTTGTCTTGCTTTCCTTACATGAATTTTTTTTAACCACTGAGAGGAATCAAGTATATAAGTATGTTTGTAACTGTGATTATGATAGAGGCCTATCTCTGTTTACATGCATAGCTTTGAGTTAGGCTAAATACATCAGAAGTGTTGAAGTTAGTATTGCCAATCTTTCACTGGGTGAGAAAATGTGACCAACTTAGCATAAATTCTCTGTTAGTTCCAGAAATAGCACTAAATGCACATGCCCCACTGATCAGAGATCATTAGTGTCATCATAAAAGCAAGACAACATTATGATACTTTAAAACAGCCTTAGCAAATAAGTATAAGTGTTCATTAACCCACAAATATAGCTTCAAGCCAGACTTACAGGTGGCAAAATGAATTAGCACAGCTACCTTAATTGATTATTCATCATAGATTTAATCTTTAACATGACTCTCAATGATAACTTTTTACAAAGCTGTTTTAAAGATTTCCAGACACGATGGGAAACTTTTAAATTTTGGTAAGAGGGAGGCTTTTAAAACAGTACATTCCTAAATAAAACAACAATAATTACACCTTAATCAAGATTGTCTGATACACATGATTGCATTATTTTGGCAAAGTTTAGAATCATTTATTGCTTTATCTTTAGTGTAACAGGATCACGGGGTGAAGCATGAACATTCAGGCTAATTATACAGATTTTTGTCTACATGGCATGATCCATCCAGATGTTTGGAAACATCAGGAAAAATGTGAATTATCACATATCCAGATGTTTGTCGTCTCAAGAATGAAGCATGTTAAAGTACTGAGATGATTGCATGCATCATCAGATGGTAGTATGCATCAGTCTTTTAATTTAGTATTGCAACAGTGCAATGCTAAAATAAGGAAGCAAGTGACTGCAGCCTTTGGCTCAAGCTCACATGTCTTTGAGAACTGTAAGTGCCCAAGGCTGTACTTGGTGGCACTCTGACAGATAGCTTTATGTCTCACTCCCTTACTCTCTTCTCCCCTCCCTTCCTTCTAGCTCATTCTCTTTTTCCTTTTCTCTGTAATTCTGATCCTTATAAAGGTGACACCCCTTGTGCTGGTAACATCTGGAGCTAAAGAGATGGCTGACTCTCCTAGAAGGTGAACCCAATCCACGATTTGTGTAGTAATTGAATATTCCTGAGTTACTTGGTAATAAAACAAGTTAATGGTAAAATAATTCATATATTATTCTAGTTAGCTTGTTAAGCACGTGGAAACTGTTTAGGATAGATATCCTTTTTAAATTGGACACTTACCTGTATTATAAGTACTCACGTCTGTAGTTCTAAAATCCTTTGAAACATATCATTTTCTTGCAAATATTTTTTATTTTTTTGAGGGAATAATGAGCAGAACATTTTGATATTTTGGGAATTCTAAAAATCCTTTAATTAGTTTTTTTACTACATTTCCCTATCTATACCAAAAAAAAAAATAGTAAGTAGTATTTGATGGTTTGCAGTCTGATTTTTCCTTTCCTCTTACTTAGGTGTGGTATGTTGGAGCTGATTCATACAGGCTTACTGATTATTAAATTTTCAAGAATTTTGCAAACTGGTTGTTAAACACAGCCAATATTAAAAATTAAATGATATGTGCTTACAATTTAATGTTATATGAAAAACAAAAGTAATACTCAAACATACATTTTACTTTTTTCTATCTCTTAAGACTAATTGAACCTATTGTGTCTGTATGGCAGACATACTATATAATGGTATGCTATTCACACCTCTTCCCAACTCAGTAGTTCTTCCCAACTCGGAAGTTCAGTACTTTTGCTAGTAGTTTGAAATTGGCCATGGTGTGAGTATTTGTACCATGGAAATTAGCAAATGTTGCATATCAGGGCTGTTTTTTCCCCTAGGTTGCTGGTTGATAACCATTCATCAGCACAGCACGCCACAGGGTGAAATGTATACATTTCTTTTCCTGTATACATGTTTTGATTATCACGTTGCCAAAGGGAAGAACATTTGTCTTCCTTGTCTTCCTTTCATTGTTCTCAGTCTAGTTGTGGAGGACGCCGCTCACTGGCCGCTGGCCCTTGTTCACCATCTTAGCTGTAGAGGGCGCAGCTTACTGGCCCATGTGGGAATCGAACCAGCAGTCCTGTCATTCAGAGCTCGTGCTCTTACCAGCTGAACTATCCAGACTGAGCTATCCTGCTGCTTCTGATCACTTTCGATTTGTTGCAGATATATTTAAGTGTGAGAGTCCCAGCACGCCCCTCAGCTTTTTCCTTTCTTTTCTCATTCTCTCTCTTTCTTACCTATGCCCCTAAGAAACCTTGGATCTTGTAGAATGTTCCCTGCAGCCCCAAGGTGCTGTAAACTGGGGGCTAAGGCAGTTTCTGACAAACCCTGACAGAAAGCAAGGGGGAAAAAAATCAGAACTTGACAGTGATAGTTTGTGCTATAGTTGTTGATAGTATTAAAGAGAGATAATGGGATATTATCAAAATTGAGCACTGTTTTACCTTGTAAAATAATTTGGGTCTCATGTAATAGATTCTATGAAATCAAATATTTATTTCTAATCAGTTTATCTTATTATTACCTATGTTTTAAAAGTAGCTTGAAAGGTGACATTTCCATGAGAATTCACTTATTAAAACTAACTATTGGAAGATAAACTTCCATTTTTAAGGGCCTATAAATCATTTAATTAGCCTAGGCCTTTCATCTCCCCGTCTGCCCAAAGTGTGTAGGTAGAAGGTCTTTTATGATCATGAGCATAATTCCTTACCATCCATCACAGTGAGGCATAATGTATATAAAGCATTTTATATGTATGCATTTTGCCAAATATTGACATATTTGGCAACATCTGGACAACTGATTGAAGGGAGATACTCTCTCCCCAGACCACCTTCTTTCCCCTTTTAGACGTGTACAGGCCTACATTAAGTGTAAAATCACTCTCCTGGACTTACAGGCTCGTATCACAGCATATGTGGAAGATGACTTTTAGGAGATAAATTTTGGAAGCCTGGAGATCCTATAATCACTCCAGCACTACATCTCCCCATCTTATGGAAGTGTATAATGGAAGCTGTTTCATCCTCATCAGCATGATTAAATCCTTTCCTTTCTTTTTCGTAGGGCCTAATGTAAATGTGTGTGTGTGTGTGTGTGTGTGTGTGTGCCAAATATCTAAATATCTAAATAGGTGTTTGGCTACATCTGGACAACTGATTGAAGGGGGATGCTCTCTCCCCAGCTCCATTTCCCTTGTCCTTTTTAGAGTTGCTGCAGGCCCAGGTTAATGTGTTTGCAGTTTAGGTCACCAATCATCCGATTTCACAGCGTGTATGGACGAGAAACCTTAGAGAATAAATATTAGAAGCCTAAAAATCATTTCATTGTTTTAGCACCAAATCTCTCCATATGCCTAAAGTGTGTGAGTAGAAGTTCTTTCATCTTCATCAACATGATTCAGCCCCTTCCTTCCAAATGTGTAGGGCATACTGTATGTAAATAGTTTGTACATAACAATCACCAAATACTGTAAGGAGATATTTGGCTAAAGCTGGACAACTGACTGACGGGAGATGCTGTCTCCCAGTCCCTCTTCCCTTACCCTCTCATAGTTGCTGTGGGCCTAGGTTAGGCAGAGACTCGCTAACCTGGAGGGGCACACGCAGCTCACCCAGCGTAGAGCACACGCTTCATCGTACAGTAGAAGCCCATCTTCATTTCAAAACTCAGAAGTCATCCCAATGCCTATACTCCTCAAAACAATTTCCCTAAGGGAAGCCTGCCACACCAGATCAAAACAACAGCAGCTTCTCTTCCAGACAGAAACGTGGCCCCAGGCAGGGCACCAGCATTTGGGAAACCAGTGTGGTCTGAATAACTGCCATGAGAATGTTTCAGACACTCCAACTTGAAACTGGTGTAAGCATCAGCGTGCTTTAAGTGTAAGATAGCTCTTTAAATTTACAAAAGAGTTTGAAGATATTTCCTTTTTTCATGGATATGATGTAATTAGCCTCCTAGGCACTGTGAAGGAGACAGAGGAAGTATAAGAATTCTGGATTGATAGAATTTGATACTTGTTTCTGGAGTTAGTGGTAGAGTGCCCTTTTTTGCAAAATGGATACCATCTTTAGTGCAAGTATTTATAGCATCAGCAAAAAGGGGCAGGCGCGGTAAGTTGTGAATACTGGGTTCTGTGGTATGTTAGCTGTACTCAGTGGAACTGTTTCTGGAATTGGGTTTTAAGTCATAATCCCAAAGGTGCCTTCCTTCCTCTTATACTAATGATGCAATAATAGCTACTTTTATTTTAATGAGCAGAGAACTGAGGTGAAATGTTTTAGCTCTGCCAGTAGCTGTTTTTCCTTGTTGCTCCTCATTTCAAATCTCCTACCCTTCACCATGCCATCCTCAAAGCTAAAGGACTGAGACACATGCAGAGGAAAGGTTGTGAAGAGGGCTGGAAGAATCATGAACCCTCTGGATGAAAATCACATGACCAGGCCTCCCAGGAACAAGCTGGAGGGAGGAAAGCACCCAGAACCCAGGATGGAATCCGTTTTCTTCCCAACTCTAGATCAGATTGGATTTTGTTTTGTGGTTCAGGAATTTAGGAAAGTGGAGAGGCTGAGTGAGGTGGGGAAGGAAGATCAAAACTAAAGGTTTTAATTTGCTTAAGGGCAGCAGTAAATTCTGCTCAGCTAACCTCTTTCCCATCTGCCCATAACAGCAATGATTGAACACTCAGTAGATAGGTGGAGGCGGAGTGCCAAGGTGTAAATTTGTAACCTGCCTCTTGGTACAGTTCTAGGAAAGCTGTCCGTGTACCAGAGGTTATCCCAGTTTTGTGATGCATCCTTGATTTGGGGAAGAGTGAAGGAGACTAGACTTTTCTCTATCTTCCATGGTAGCCATTCTGAGCACACTGGCTCTGCTAGCTGGTATGGTGAAAGGGCACCATACTAACAGTTTTGGAGACTGACTCCTAATCCCATCACCAACACTTAGCAGGTATATGATCATGGGCAATTCATTCAATTGCCTGCCAATTATAGACTCTCTAGGGGGAAGAGCACTGGATTTGGAGTCAAGAAACCTGGACACTTGGCTCCAACTTTCTTAGCTGGGTGACTTTGGGGCAAGCCACTTAGTCTCTCAAGCCTAAGTTTCTTCAGCTATATCATAATGGGAATGATATCTTCACTAACTACCTCACAGAGTTGTGGTGAGAATATAATCAGATAATGGGATGAAACTACTACATTGGAAGGGGCTATACAAAAATGGGAGATCGTTTTTATTATCTATTCACTAACGTTTTCCACTGTCTCTTGAATCTGTTTTTTCTTCTGACCAACAATTACACCTTCCACATCTTTTTGAGTATGGGGAATTGAAGCATGTGTACGATGTAGAGATTGGTATTACTTTACTTTGTACATCAGGTGGGGGAGGTGGTTGATGAGGGTGGTGGGTGTTATATACCAGCGATGCGTGTAGTAGGGCATTTTCCTGGGTCACTCTGAAGGTACCTTGGGACATGGTCAGGACCCTCGCAGAGA